AGAAGTCCTAAGGCTGTAGCTTTAGATCTTTAGATTAGGTAGTTCTTAGGGGGTCATCTTATAGTAATTAGCGATAAATAACTAATAATAACAGACTACCTTAGTTGTAAGGACCTTTAAGAGCTTTATTTAGGTCCGTTAGAATTTTTATCGTTTATCTGAGCTATTATTATAAATGAGTAACCTTTAAGGTTCTAACTTATTATCTTAGTCTTATAATTAGGTAATTTCTATTATTTAAGGTTACTAATCTATTACTTTATTATCTTATTATCTTTTTAGGGTTTTCCTTATTCCCTTAATTAGTTACTTTTTATAATCTTATTATCTTATTATTATTACTTTTTATAATTACTTACTTAGTGTACTTAACTAAATATCTCTCTAATTAGTTTAAACCTATAGTTAATATTCTAGAAGGGGAGACTATTAAAAGCGTATAGGGTATAAGGGACTCTTATAGTATAGTAACTATAAAGAACACTATAACTACTAAAAGTAATATAAGATTCCTTACTAATTAGTATATAAATTATATTAATCTATCTAGAATTAACGTTAATTATAAGTGTTAAACTATAGGATTAAGTATAATTATACTTTAATTAGGTAGGTAATTACTCCTAATTATCTTATGTTATTACGCTTAAAGATAAATTATAAAGAGGCTTTAGTTTAATTAGAATTTAGGTATATAAGTATAAAGAATAAATTATATGTATATATCTCTAAATCTATTAACGCTAGCTTATATCCCTATACTTAATTAGGATTAGGATCTTCTAATTAGCCTATATACTATCTCGCTCTAGGCTAATCGCCCTACCCTGCTCTATTATAAAGAAGGAGGTAATTATATACCTTAATAAAGCCTTTTATAGTAGTAGTAACTAAATACTATATAAAGAAACTAAGGTCTAGGTCTAGTACTTTTATATAAGCTAATAAAGCTTTAATATTAAATAGTTATCTATATCTTTAACCTTAAATAAGTACTTTTAATAGTATATTATAGCCTTTATAAATATTATTTTTCCTTATTATAAAAAAATAAACTATAGTCTAAGAGACCTCTTATTTATATAGTATTAATTAGTTTTATATTCTTATACTAACTTAAGTAAAGTAATTTTAAAGTTATAAGTACTTTTTTACTTATTTAGTATCTAGACTATATCTTTATATAAGATAACTGCTTAGTTAATAACTAACTAGACAAAAAGGTCTAGTCTAACTTCCTCTAAATGTTAGAGGAACAAGATAGAAGCGTACTTAAGTACTCTAGGTCCCTATTTCCTTACACTTTATACTAGAAATTTAATATACTTATTATATAAAAAGCTAATTATATTTAATTAACTAACTAGAAAATTAAGTTACTAACCTTACTACTTAGGTTAATAAGTATACTAAGTTAATTTATAAAAATATAAACAATACTACTACCTTAGTAATAGCTATTAATAAGCCTAAAGTAGCTATAGTAATATAAGGTAATATTAATAAGGCTATTAGAAAAAGCTTATATACTTAAGCTAAAAAAATTTACTAGTAAGTAGCTTAAATTAATAATATTAATAAATAAATTAATACTATTAAAATAAGGTTAAGAACCTTAACTATAAGGTAAATACTCTTAATACTTTTAATAAGTTTAAGGCTAGGGATTTTAAATAGTTATAAGATTAGGTTATCTTACTTATAAAGACACTTTACTTTAAGTAAGAGATATATATTACTACCTAAAGTGTTATTAGTAATATAAGCTTATATAGCAAAAATAATAAGTAACCTTACTTAGTAAAGAAGCTTAGTAGCCTTATAAGCCTATAAGGAAAAAAGCACTAAGCTAGGGCTATTAACCTAAGTAATAATAATAATAAGTAAATAGTAAGGTTAAAGTGTAAATTAAGAACCCTAAGATATAAGGCTATAACTTAAAAAATATAAGAAAATAATAGCTATTACTTTCTTAATTAGCTCTTAAAGTATTTTATAAGAAAAAGATAAAGTCTTTTTAAAGGGAGGCACTTATTATAAGATAAGATAGTAAGTGCTTATAGTTAGGAGATAAATAAATAGTAAGGACTTAATACCTAATATATATATAACATATTATATATACTTTAGGTCTATATTTCTTTAGTAAGTAAACTTTTATAAAGAAAGGTTAACTATAAATATACTTTTTATTTATTACTTATCTTACCTTATGTTATTTATTTAGCTTTTTATTATTACTTATTTTACTTTACTACTTTACTATTATGCTTTACTATTACACTACGTTACGTTATATTACTATTATAGCCTAGCTTTATTCTATTAGAACTATAATAGCTACTAGAAAGGCTATATTAATACTAATATAAGGTAAAGTAATTCTTTTTTAAGGTTTTTTATATACCTCTTTTTTATTTTTTTTAAAGTATATAGACTTTATACTTTTTTAGTTAAATCTTCTTATTAAAATTACTTATTAGTAATAATATATTATAGTATATTAATCTTAATATTATTTGAACTATAAAAAAGACCTTAGACTTGTACTTTATTATTTAAAGAATAAAATCTACCTCTAGATACTATTATAAATAGGCTAAAGTATTAGGCTACTAGTAAACAAAGAAGGAATAGAATAAAGAAAGGAAAAAATATAAAAACTACACCTACCTATAATAACGTTATTAAAAAGTAGGAGTTATATTAAAAGATAGCCCTTATAATTCTTAGATCTAATTTAAAGAGAAAACTTAAAAGGGATAAAGTCTTAAAAAGTAATTACTAAAAAAGTAATTTTATAAAAAGTAATAAAGATAGTATATATAGTAATAGCTATATTTTAATACTATTAATAATAATATATTCCTTATATGTCTACTAATTACTACTTATAATCTTCTAGTAGGTTAGTATATGTCTATAACTACTAGCTAAACTTATAATTCTAATTTTATTATTAATTATATAGCTAGAATTAGCTTAGGATTTCTTAACTAAGAAATAAGGAGATTTTTTTATTTCTATTAAACTTTACTATAGATATAAATATAATAATATAATTAATTAATTAACTATTGTAATCCTTACTATTTAATAAACATTTATATCTAAAAGTAAATTTATAATAAGAATTAGTTTATAATAAAGTAAATCTTTACTACTAAGTAAAGAAAAAATATATAAGAGATTAAGAAATAATTAATTAAGAAATAGGCTATAATTAAAAAATATTTAGTATAGACGCTATAGTAATTAACTGTATTACTAGCACTAAAGAAATATATTAAATATAATAATAAGTATATATAAGTTAACTAGTAAATATATAGTTACCTTATAGTAAATTACTAGGGGATAAATAGTACAATAATCTTACTTTATAAGTAATCTAGCTAATTTTATAGCTAGGATTAGCCTAGGATTCTCTAATAAAGGAATAGGGAGATTTTTCTATTCCTATAGGATTCAACTATAGTAATACAACACATGACATAATTAAAAACTATTATAATCCTACAATTTAACAACTCCCCTACAAACTGTTCCCCTGGCGATGCCTAGCGTTGTCAAGATTTCTATCCCTTAGAGCGCGGTCGGACCTCACTAAGCCCTGATGCGGGGTAAGGCAAATCACAGTCCAAACAGCCTCATTGGTTTTCTCCGCCTTTAACTACTAGATACCTCACCTGGAGCCTGCCCTACTTGGTATCGTCATGTATCTCTGAATATGAGGAGTAAAAGTAGAGTGGGATCCACCAAGAGGTTAACGAGGACCGACCGCGCTCTAAGGGATACGTCGCAATAGACAGCGCGCGTGTTAAACGAGCTGCAGGGATACTGGATATACCTAACACCCGTCCGTCTCACGATTAATATATTAGCCTTCGTGCTTCGGGTACGAGTCACCGGGACGAATGACAAACCTAGTCATTGACATTCGTCACGGAGCTTAAAATAATCCCGAAGGCCGACCTGAAACCCATACGCGATCCCTATAAAGCAATCAAAAAGACCACCGCCTCGACTCGTAATCCCGTACCTTCGCCGACCCCTATCGTTCCGCAACACGAATACTATACATGTCAAACCCATCATTAATAATGAGCTTGCTTCCAAACATGTTGCAGATTTCTCATAATCCCCTTCATCCCTTGGCCCAATATCTGCCACAATGGGTGTCTCGCAGCCTCAGTTCCATCCTTTTGGTTGCGGCCTTCTCTCTTATCATTCTAACCCTGCTGTCTCTCATCTCGACCCAGCGCCACTTGAAAGACATTCCTCTCATTAACCCTCCCAATTCTCTGTTTCAAACGACCGCAGAAATAGCAGTAAGAACTTGGAAAAATTCTACCATGATATTAGATAACACTAAACAGATGATTTCAGAAACAATACTCTACTAACCCTGTAACAATCATCGAACGCGGTCGTAACATATATCCAGATCAGCCTTATCGGATGATTACTAATCAAGGGACTGTTGTTGTGATGCCACCTCAACACGCCGAAGAGATTGCCAACAAGTCAGAATTGAATCTTATGGCGCGCGCGCGTACTGTACGCTTTTATTCTCCTCTGAGCTGAGCTATGCACTGATAATCTCCAGGAATGTCATGCAGGTACTCCAGGCTTCTCGGGCCTGACAACTGGGCCGGATGGTGATAGATTAGCTATCGATGTCGTAAAAAAGCCCCTAACTAAATCACTAGGTAAGAGTTATAGTCGTTCGTTACTATAACAGGAACTAACATTTACACAGCCAAGTTGACCGAGACCGTTGCTGACGAGGCAACCCGGGCCATTGACATGCACCTACCCAGTCTTAACGGCATGTTATACTATCCAAAGCCGCCGTTTATAGGATGGTCATTTTCTAAACTGTATAACAGAGTGGCATGAAGTCCAATTACTCCCTCGCATGCTTGATATCATTGCCCAAACCTCCTCACGCGTCTTTCTTGGCGAGGAGCTATGCCGCAATGAAGATTGGCTACGAATTACTAAGACATACACTTCAAAGGCATTTGTACTCGCCGGCAAATTAGGAAATATTCCCCGTCCATTTCGCCCGCTACTTCACTGGTTTATTCCAGGTATGAAGGAACTACGGGACCTCTGTGCCAAGGCTGAGGCTATTATCCAACCTATCTATAATGCGCGACAGAAGGCCAAGGCTAGAGCTCTAGCTGACGGAAAAGCGATTCCGACATATGACGACTGTATAGAGTGGGCTGAGGCTGAAGCGCATGCCTCTTACCAACCGGCCATGTTGCAGATGAATATCGCTGTCGCTGCCTTCCACAATACTGCCGAGCTACTGTCACGAGTCGTTCTGAATATTGCCCACCATCCTCATATTATTCGAGAACTTCGAGAAGAGGCCATTGACGTCTTGAAGGCTGACGGATGGAGAAAAACAGCGCTTTCTAAAATGAAAAAACTTGACAGCGTGATCAAAGAAACCCTAAGACTCAAGCCTAGTGGTACACGTAAGTATGATCTTGTGTGTGGTATTTTATATTACAATCTATGAATAAAGAACTTAACACCTCAATTCTCTAGTTACTATGCGCCGCGAAGCAACTAGTCCCACTACGCTTTCTACTGGCCTTACCCTTAAGACCGGCGACGCCCTTATTGTGGATCCATTCAATTCGTTTAGAGACCCGACTTTGTATGAGAATCCAGAGCAATTCATACCATGGCGATTTTTACACTGGCAGAACGAGCCAGGTAAACAGCACCTAGCACACCTTGTGTCAACTTCACCGGCACACCTAGGCTTTGGTCATGGTATACACGCCTGCCCAGGCCGCTTCTTTGCTGCCGACGAGATAAAAATCGTGGTATGCCACATGTTGATTCAGTACGACTGGAAGCCTCCGCCTATGTCATCCTGGAAACCTGTCCACGCCGGCATTTTTATGGTTACACCTCCAGATACAGTTTTACTTTTCCGCCGTCGTCCTCATCCAGAAATAGATGTTAAACGTCTACCACCTACCCTGGTTAGGAATTAAAATCTAGTATTAGTTGGTAGTTTGTATTTATGTTTACCTAGAAGATGTATAATTCTACATATAACCACCCCACCCCACGTATGAATAGGCCCTATATATAAACACTTGTTAAATAGTAGGGATTGTAATAGTTGCTTAATTGATTCTGTTATGTGTTATGTTACTCTAGTAAAATCCTGTAGGAACAGGGAAATCCCCCTATTCCTTTGGTTAGGAAATCCCGGGCTAATCCTGGCTATATTATTAGTAGACTTACCCTAAAAGTGGGGCTAATTTACTGCCTATTCCCTAACGATTTACTGTAGGGCAACTGTGTATTTACTAGTTAATTTATATATAATTCTGCTATATTTAACACACCCCCTTAGTGCTAGTAGCGCAGTTAATTACTATAGAGCCTGCGCTAAATATCCTCTATATATAGCCTATTTATTTATTAATTATCCTTTAATATCTTATATATTTTCCTTCTTTATCTAGTAGTAAAGCTTTACTTTATTATTTACTAATTCTTACTAGTAATTTACTTTAAGGTATATATATTACAACTTGTGACTTAGGGCGAAAGGCGCGAAGCATGTGAGACTTATCGGGAGGAAAGGCATCTACGGAAGTATGATGCCAACGGGGTACAAAGTATCGACATGACGTTTCTTGCGAACACCCCTACTGTTTTGCTTTTTTAGGGAATACTCTAGGCTCTGAGCGACGTACGATCGTCCTTCAGCGAGCGCTGACCAGTTGAGGTTATAGGTTTCACGTTAAGGATTACGATGGCGCGCCATCTGGTAAGTATCTT